CTCATCACTGTATAAGCTAAGTGCTTCACAAAACAGTAATGCTTTCAGCCTCCCTCTGAGGTGAAGGAGAAGGACTCATTTTGCACAAGAATGTGAATCAAAGAAAGGTGAAGGTAAAAAGTGCCACTCATTGTGGTTGCCCAATTTCAGACATAGAGACCAGATCTCCCAGGTTACTTAACAAGACACAGTGCATGAAATGCTCAAAACAGCTGTCAGTAGCTTCAAGCCATGGCTGTGAGCAATTTGGCTCCTCTGCAGAATTAAGGGCGGCAGGCTGGGCCTCCAGAAGAGAAACTGTATGAGGCTGGTGGTCACTTCCGACTAGTTCAGTTTGGCCAGCATCAGACTGGGGTCCTGTTGCAAGAGCAGGGTCCACCCCAGGCAGCAAACCACCAGGTAAGAGGCTCTCTCCTCTTCTACAGCTTCCTGGGACAGGTGAGGCAGGGTCCTGAGGCTCTGACTGATCCAGAGAGGATGCTCAGCCTGTGCACTGAAGAAGGCAGGGGCCCTGTGAAAAAATACTGTGCAACCCTGAAATTAAAGATGGTATCAAAGCAAAATCACAAGGGGGCAGTACCTTCATTCTCCTTAATGACTGGCTTCTGCATGCTTTATTTTGCAGCTTTTTGTTTCTAGCGCAGTCCTATGTTGTGTCATATAAAAGCATTTTGTCCCAGCTTGCTTAACCTGGACAGTTCCTGGTCTGATTCCTGTCTCCTCTGAAGACTGCTTTCTTTTTCACAAGACTGTTACGGCTGGGCAGACAGTTTAGCCTCCGCAGGCTTCCCAAGGAGGTACCAGATTAACCAGAGCTGCAGCTGCAGGGAAAGGTTCTCTTTCCCCTCTGTGGGCCCTGGACTGGAACATGCTGAATGCTTAGACTACTTAACACATGCTAACAGAAACCTCTTAAGGGCTTATCATTTGGCTGAATGGAACAACTTCTCAAGAACAGCAAAGATCGCATCTATAGCATCTAGGCAACATTCCTGGCAAATTTTAGCTTCTCAGTGAAGAAGTGAAAAGAGGTCTTTTATTTTGTACAGGAAAGTCTCTTCTTCCCTAACTTCCTTCTGACAAATTAGTAACTTTGCTGATGCTTTTTGGAAATACTCAGCATTAGATAGGTATCTGCCATGAAAAATGCTGCCAAGTGTAAACTGGACTAAGTTAAAAGTGATTGGAAACAAGACCTAAAAGTAGAAGGATTGTGTAATATTAAGTACAGTTAATGCTACTGATGTTGCCTAAAATACAAATCCTTCCTGTCTCGCAATTCCATCTAGTGGCCTGCTGAACCGTACCATTTTCTTGCAGCAACTCCTATGAGATTTACCTGCAAGTTTCCATAAGCTGGGATTTTACACTAGGAAAAGTTTTTTCTACCCTTTGATCACTGTTGCAGACAGGATATTAAATGGGATGAACCTACAGTTTGATTCAGTACAGCAGTTCTTGTGCTGAATGCATTATTTACAAGACAGTGAGCTGCAATAAATTAAGTTTTACTGGTAGTCTTGTTGCTATTTAGTCTTGGTACTTATTAAAGCAATGAAATGTGGCTTAGGTTTAATACCTTACATCACTGTTTATTTTGGTGTAACTCTTTTATAGACAGGTTCACATGGGAGAAGTTAAAGGGCATCAACAGAGGTGAGTTGCAAAGCTGGAAAAAGAGCTAGCTCTCTCCCTTTTCCTCCTTTCCACCAGGAAGAATGGAGATGTACATTTCCAACTTTTCACATTGAACAGGCATATTCTTATGAAAAAGAAAAAAATTACTGATTCAGAATCACGTGAAATTTTGGATTATGCATTCCTGGAAAGTATGACCAGGAAGTGCTGAAAGATTCAATCAGCCATAGACTCAGTCACATAAGCCTTGCTTTCTTCAGTGATGCTGGTTCACAAGACTCACTGTTCTACTCCTTAGCATTCTTACTCAGTCTCTGTCCATAACTCACTCCAGTTCCACAACTGTCTTCAACAAAACTATTCATCTGACTCTGGCTTTGCAGGAATGACCCTTAGGTTTGTGATTCTATGTGTCAAAACCATATACCAACCATTTCCAGCTGTGGAGGAAGAGTAAAAGGAGGGAAGACTTACTCCACTGTAGAGACTATGCCAACTTTCATGCACTATTTGCTTTACCAAAGTTACAAGCTATGAAAAAGGAGGTTAATAATTGAAGTGCCATCCCATCTTAATGGCAGTGGGGATAGTACACCTCTACAGAGTACATGTATTTAACAGATGTGGTCCAAAACTGCTGCCAGCTATTAACATAAATCCTATTCCACATTATGGAGCTTTGTAATTGGGATCGTGGTTACATAGATTGCAGAGTTGTATTGCAGAGCTATGATATCATACCTGTGAAATACTATACAGCTACTGAAGTACATCAGAGCTGTGAAGCACAACCATTTAAAAGAAGTGCTTAAAAAAAAAAAACAACCAACAGCCCTTATACTAATACCAAACATTTACAGTGCTGTCACTTTCAAAGTTTGGCAGGCTCATGGTTTCTAACACACCAGTTGTATGCCCCATTTTCTCCAGAAGCGCAAATCCCCACAGCCAGTTTTTGAAGTTGTAAGTGTGTCATTTTTGCTGGAGAGGCATGTCTGAGCCTTGCCAAAAATGGGTCTTTTAGATATCAAGAAATTGCTGTGGGGACTTGCTTCTTTGCCTCATTGCAAATTGAAGGTAGAGGCTGCTTTTAAGCCAGGGACCAGCAGCACTCTTTGTTTGAGTGCCATAAGTGCAAAACCAGTATTTTCTGAGACTTGGGAGGCGGGGGATTTTTTTGGAATACCAAAACGAACTTTTCTCAGTTAGCATATAGCAATGTCACAAATACAAGAATGTTCTGCAGTTGCATCTCCATTTTTTCTGCTGCTTCTCTTAATTTTCTTCTACTCCCTTTTTTTGAAGTTCTTGCTTTTATTCCCTCTCTCTGTGCCCTGTTTGCTTCCCTTTCTTCTACAGCCTCTGCCCACCTCTTCCCTTGCTACTCTGCTCTTCTGCCTCCAGAACAACCATTTTTTGCTGTTTTCTCGCACCTGCAAGTAAAGCGGTCAAGTGAAAATCACAGCATTTCTGATGGTACTGAATGATAACAGTACTTCCTTGGTACAAAAAAAAGATAATTTAGCCACAGAAAGTCTAATCTTTGAATATACAAACTGGCATATGAAAAAAAGCTTGGATACCAAGAAGGATCCAGGGAACTACAGGCCTGTCAGTCTGACCTCAGTACCGGGGAAGATTATGGAACGGTTTGTCTTGAGAGCACTCACATGGCAAGTCCAGGATAAGCAGGGGATCAAGCCCAGTCAGCATGGGTTTATGAAAGGCAGGTCCTGCTTGACCAACCTGATCTCCTTCTATGACCAGGTGACCCGCCTAGTGGATGAGGGAAAGGCTGTGGATGTTATCTTCCTTGACTTCAGCAAGGCCTTTGGCACTGTGTCTCATGGCTTGGACAGGTGTACTCTTCGCTGGGTGAAAAACTGGCTGGCTGGATGAGCCCAGAGGGTTGTGGTGAATGGGGTGAAATCCAGTTGGTGGTGGGTCACAAGTGGTGTTCCTCAGGGCTCGGTGTTGGGCCCTGTTCTGTTTAATATCTTTATCAATGATTCGGATGAGGAGATTGAGTGCACCCTCAGCAAGTTTGCAGATGACACCAAGTTGGGAGGCAGGGTCGATCTGCTTGAGGGTAGGAAGGCTCTACAGAGGGATCTGGACAGGCTGGATCGATGGGCTGAGGCCAATTGTATGAAGTTCAACAAGGCGAAGTGCCGGGTCCTGCACTTCGGTCACAGCAACCCCATGCAGTGCTACAGGCTTGGGGAAGAGTGGCTGGAAGGCTGCCCGGCAGAGAAAGACCTGGGGGTGCTGATTGACAGCCGGCTGGATATGAGCCAGCAGTATGCCCAGGTGGCCAAGAAGGCCAATCGCATCCTAGCCAGTATCAGAAATAGTGTGGCCAGCAGGAGCAGGGAGGTGATTTTTCCCCTGTACTGGGCATTGGTGAGGCCGCACCTCAAGTGCTGTGTTCAGTTTTGGGCCCCTCACTACAGGAAAGACATTGAGTTGCTGGAGCATGTTCAGAGAAGGGCAACCAAGTTGGTGAGGGGCCTGGAGCACAAGTCTTATGAGGAGCGGCTGAGGGAGCTGGGGCTGTTTAGTCTGGAGAAGAGGAGGCTGAGGGGAGACCTTATCGCTCTCTACAACTGCCTGAAAGGGGGTTGTAGTGAGGTGGGTGCTGGTCTCTTCTGTCAGGTGGCTGGAGATAGGACAAGAGGAAATGGCCTCAAGTTGCAGCCAAGGGAGATTTAGGTTAGATATTAGGAAAAATTTTTTTACTGAGAGGGTTGTCAGACATTGGAATAGGCTGTCCAGGGAAGCGGTTGAGTCACCATCCCTGGAGGTATTCAAAAAGTGAGTAGATGGGGTACTTCAGGACATGGTTTACTGGGCATGGTTGATGGTTGGACTCGATGATCTTGAAGGTCTTTTCCAACCCGAATGATTCTATGATTCTAAGTTCTAGCCAAACATTTTAATTGAACGGTACCGCGCATCTATGCTTTACTCTTTGATGATTGTAATGTAGGAACATTTCACTGTCCATTGTATCTATGGCCAGAAGAACCCAAGTGACTTAAGTCACAAACATATCTCAGAGCTTCTTTGAAAACAGATTCCTGAGCACACATATACACACTGTTACTGCTGGTCAGATGAAGTACTTGCACTGGACAATAATATGTGAAGAAGTCCCTTGTGGTTACCTTTCTGAGCAAGAAAAAAAAGTATTTTGTATTTTAAATTAAGCTCCAGCGAACAAACATTATAGAAACTGCAAAATACACATATTCACAAAACAAAACAGCTACTTAAAGATGTGAGTATACAGTCACATTTGCATGTGTGTATATGACACACAAATGAGAATATACAAGATAGGTAGAAAATGCTATTCTTACCTTATTGCACTTGCAGATAAGTGGCCATACGAACCACTGGCTGAGGAACTGCTACGAGAATTATTGAGAATCGTGACCAAGGAATTTGGAGACGTCCGTATCATGGTCTGAAGGTCAAAGCTGTGATCAGATAGGGGAGATATGGACAACGTGCGCTTTCGGCTTGGTCTAGCTGACAATCTCGGACTTGGAAACCTGGCGCCTGTTATGTAAACACAAATAATTATCCACCAGGGTACTTAATCGCATTTATTTGCTATCAGTGATGGGTAGAGGGAGTCGCAAGACACCAACATGCTGTGACAAGCCCACTCTCTCCACTTGTGATCTACTGGCTACGATTGAGGAAAATTAGGAAGAAAAATCTATCTTCCTGTGGCTTACCTCAGGGGAGCTCTGTTTATTAATGTGCAAGCAAAATGATAAATTGCTAAACAAAAGGAAAAGACTTTTATGAGTTATCCCTCTCATTTCTGGTGATTTATGAATCTGATGGCTTCTTAGACATTCACATCATTAATTCAACCATGAGCAATGAGACAGTGGTTCAGATCTGGGCTACCAGGAAACCCAAACTTGGATCATGTTAATACATACAGCCAAAGCTAAACTTGTAAAATACAGTGTAGAAATGAAGAGGCAGCTTTTCCTTTGTTGACCACAATTCTGCCTGGTTGGTACTTGATGCAAAACTAAAAATCAGGACTGAAAAAATACTATGAAGGCCAGCTCTATCAGCGGAAGTCAAATTTGCAGCATTAGACTGAGAAACAGTACGCTTTATTCAAATTTGTTCAGGATCCCATGATATTCTTGTGTTGGGGTGTACAGGGGCCTACTATTGCCAAATTTCTTTAAAACTAGAGATTAAGCTTTTCGAAACAGCAAAGAGAAGACAACCATACATATACCATTTAAATAAATACATATTACATTTCTAGATTTTCTGTGCTGCTCTGAAAATGTTTACCTCTTCTGGTCTGTTTCACCATGTCATCCCAACTCTCTGCAGTCCTGACAGAAGAGATATCACCTTAAAGTTCTTCCCTTTATTTAATTATTTTTAATCTTGGTTGAGACTGAGAAGGAGAGAATTAGCTTCCCCACTGCGTACTGAACTATTTCCTTTAACAGTACTGTCACTTCTACCTTTTTAATCCCTTTAACCTGTGGTAAAGGACTGAGTCCTAATGATCCTGACAGCCAGGGTCATGCAGGTCTTGGGTTCTCCCAGAGTCCCTGACGTTCTCTGTAACTTGCTAACAATTCACAGTTGGCCACAAGCCTCCACTATAGGTCTGCCTTTCCTAATTCTTGCTCATGTCTTGGTGCCCAGGACCATTTTTCAGCAGGGTGTTTAAGTTTACGTGCCTAACATTAACCAGGAGAAGAGCACAACTGACTCCAATTAGACTCACCTCAAGGACAGAGCTGGATTAGAATCTGCAATTATGTTTTCCTTACACACCTGAGTAGGTTGCCCTTCTTTCTGTGCATGCTATCCAAGATTTTCATCTGGTATTAAAAGCTGCCATTTTATTGCTGCTGTGACTGTGTGATCAGATCTCCATCCATAGCCCTTATCCTAAGCTATGCTTAGATTTGCTTCAACTAGCCAACGTGGGTGTCAATTCTCTTTGGCATCTGGCTAATACAGAGTTGTTTTTCCTTCGTGTTCTGTCTCTGCAATAGGCCTTAGCTCATACTGCTTCAGTCTTTCAATGAATATACATGCTCTTGATTCATCATTTAAAACTTAGGCATAGCCATTTATTTCTTCCTAAAAGCTACTACATGTTATTTTATGTAATCTGTTTTATCTCTTTTTATGAGCTTGCTATTGTACTGTGTCTGCTTGATATTTTGTTAGTCCTGTGCTTATGTCTTTCAAAGGCAGAGATCAGCAGCTATGAGAAGCTGCAACATATTTAATAGGGAAATACAAGATATATGTCATGGTAAAATAAAAATAGTAATACTTTGCACTTACACCCTTCATCCACAACTCTCCTCTGCTGACTGTTCAGTGAGCATGAATGAGAACAATGCCTCTGAAGTCACTAGTGGTGACATAATTTGCCTCAGCTGAGGATACAATTCAAGTGCTTTATAGGTGAATAAACTCTGTTATTATGGTTTTACAAGGGGATAGCTAAGTACAGGTGTTCCTGGTTAAACAGCAAGTGAAGGGGACAAGGGAGACCTGCTAGACATTGGCTGACCAGCAAAATTAGATATTACTCAAGCACTGCTACCGCAGTATTCTGTGTTACTACCAGTCATCCTAATGGTGTGCTATATATGACAGCAACAGTTTGCAGTCATGTGAACATAATTACAAACCCCCTGTTTTCCTCAAACTGATGGGCAGAGACCTCATCATGTGAGCAAGAAGGCAGCAGAGATGCTCAGAGTGGACAAGCAGAGCTCCCTCTCTTTTGATAAGTAAGACCTAGTTAAATTTCTGTGTTTACAACTAAGAGTCACCATGTGCTACTGATGGCCGTGTATGAACAGTTTCAAGTGTGATTTCCAGGAGAAACACTTTAGAAAAACTACTTCTTACGGATCTGAAGTCCAGTTTTGAATCTGCACAACTGCAAAGGGATTGCCACTTATTTGATAAATTCATTACAAGCCTGCTAAACATGGACTGATGGCTACTGATGCTAACCAGACAGGGGGTGCATAGGTTTGATCAAAAAAGTGGAGCAACTGTTAAGAATGCTAGCACCTGAGCATCTCTCCTTTGAAGCTAGACTGGGCAATAAAAACAGGAGACAACAGTTATGTTTTGCTGCCTCTGCAATTAGACACCATCTATTTTCTGTGCCCCAACCACCTAAGCGGACTCGTTGGTACTCTTGCATTTCCGAGAGGATGGAACAAGCGTTACCAACAACTGTTCAAAGCTCTTATGATCTTGAAGAGAAGCACGGTCCACCCTCGACAGATCACACAGGAGGGCTTCAGCCACAACACGCAGCAGTCTCAGGCTTCCTCTTCCCCTCCAGGCAGCGCCTGTTTCAAGCCTCACCTAGATCTGGGAATTCGGCAGTCCCCTCCATCTACCTGGGATGGGAACAACCTCCTAAGGGCCAACAGTCTCCTGCAAAAAGGGAATATTTCTGCTTCACAGCGGGAGCCAATGGCTGAGGCTGGGCAAGAGCTCTACAGAGTCTGACCACAGGAGAAGGGGATTCGGTTCAAGGGAGGCCACGACTTTCAAAATTGAAAATACAATTAAATGGAATTACTGTTTTTTCAGATCTTTGTGGTTTAATTAGGTTTCACATGCCTAAAAAGTCTTAAGCATGAGCTGACCACTGGTTACGCTGCAGGACATTTTCTAAACCATTCATTTAGCGTAACATCAGTCTTAGTTAGTATATTACTATAAAAAGGAATAGGTCACAATTTGTCAGTGCCTCTGAATACTTTGAACCAAACTTTTCAGCCTTACCCAGGCATTTATTTTAAAAACAAACACTTCAGTATTTATTTGGGAATTTGAGATGTTCATCTGCTCACAGTGTTCTCCCACTGAAGCATTACATTCCCTGCTCAATAATGCTTTAAAACAAAAAAATGCAGGAGCACTGATTCACTAAAAATCCATTTACCTCTGTGCAAGTGGTGAAAAAAACCCATCAGCTTTGGCAAAACATGCAAATGGAAGCTGACAGTGAAGATTTGTTTAGGAATGTCCCCTTTTTGGAGTAGACATTATAGTAATAAAAAGTCAGTAGTTGATAGTAAAGACTTGAGTGTGCCGACAAAAAAATCCATCAGGTGTCAGAAGAAAAGATCTTATTCCTCGGGTGGAGATCAATTCTAAAATAACAGATATCTGTCTACATCATAAATTTCAAAAATGGAATATGCCATCCAGCAAATTTGCCCATGAATTTGATTTCTGAGTTGAAGTTTTTAGCATTGCTTAATCATTTATAAGGCAATCTTCAGACATGTATCATTTATTCCATCCCTTTAAATCAAACTTCTCTGAACATGTCTCAGGCACTAGTTTTTGTTGAAGGCTGTGAACATGGGAAGTTTGATTTTGTTTTTACATTAAAGCTTTTTTTCTTTCTTTCTTTTCCTTCCAGTTTCTGCTCACAGATGTGTAAACTTTCTTTTCACTTCATGAAAGTTTGTCATAATTTTTGTCTTAGTTTTCAAAATGGTAAGTCTGTCATCAGTATAAGAGGAAAAGGAATGGCTTTGCTACTCCACCCTCATTCCCCAACTGTGCCTGAAAATCAGAAATCAAACCCAATCCGAAGCTTCTCACATTGGCTTAACTCTTCAGGCTGGCCAAATTCTTTACATCAATTGGGTTCCTATCAGTGTCTCTAATGCCAAAGGGGTAGGTCAATGCTGAATACCTTTGAAAAAGAAAAACCTCCCATTCTGAGTGAACATAGGCAAAAGTTAATCAGAGTGAGAATATTAATACTCTCAGGGTCAATCTAGCAGCCTCAGTGAACATGCTTGTCTTTCTACTGAACACCATTTAGAAGCAGAGTAAAACATACTCCCCAAGTGAAAAATGGAGGTATCAAACCCAAAAGGCTGTGATTTTTGGAATTTTTCCAAGTGCTTATGACAGTTCTGGCACACAGTATCTTTACAGCCACAACAAGGAATTTCAGTTGCTGCTACTGTGATACTGTCCCCTGGTTATTTTGATATTATACTTAAAGGTAGCACATCTGACCCTTTTAGATCAAGCAAGAAGACGGGAAGACTTGGTCAGGGATTCTGGCCACCAAAACTGTAGAAAAGCTTCATAGCAGCGAAGAAAATTCTGGTCCACTTTTCAAGCCACACAGGACAGGATGAGGAAAAATGACAATCAAGCATAGAAAATCTTGGCTGTATTCTTCCACAATACATTAGACAGTTCATGGACAGTGAAGTTCAGAGCTTCAAGAAGTCTACTGCTCTTTAGCCAAGATCTAATTTTCTGATTAATGCTTCTCCCACTCATATCATCCCCATTTTGAAATCAGTTTTCCAGCAACACAGAGCAAAACAAAAGGCCCAAAACTGCACAAACTGTATGTAACATGCTTTTCAGCCCAGTGCATGCCGGTGTTGGCATTATTATACGTACTACAGGAGAGGGTAGAGATGCCAAATTACTGTGCTAGATGCTGTACAAACACATAATTAGGAGACAGACTTGCTTCACAGAAGAAGAACAATGTCTTGTTTGTATCTATTTGGTTGTTGTGTGGAATAAATGAGCAGCAGCCTTTGAGCGAGTTGAGTCAACTTGCTCAGAACTTGATAGCAGATAATGAGGGAAACTACCAATCTCTCTTCTGTTTCCTTTGACAAGACTGGGCAAAGGTGAAAGAGTACTTTTAAGATCACCATACAAACCCTTAAGAAGAACAATCCAAACAAATGGCATTGCTGTACTTTGTTATTAAATGCAAACAGGGACATTTTTTTTTTTTTTTAAAAGTCTTAATATCGGCTTCCTGCTAATTGTTTTGTTCCTGTTTCTAATCTAAAATTCTGACAAAGAAGAAAGGGGTTTTCTTTAGCATGATGAATGATAGGACATTCAGATTCCTACTTAATGACAATTAATTTACTGTATATCCATGCAAGTTAAGATAGTTTTAATTAGTTTTTACAAAGTAAAAGGGTAACTTCATACTCTATTTAGATAAAAGCAGCTATTGCCTGACTAAACACATTCTCATCAAATATAGAAGGTGAGCTGAGTGACCCTACCAGGATTCATTCTTATTTTAATTCTCTATTTACTGTTTAAAAATAACCCATTTGCATAATAGTGCTACACATTTTTTGTCTTTAACTCTGAAATAATCCCTAATTGAAAAGTTGCTGCTATAATGAATCTGAAACGTGTGATCTTAATTTTTAAAAACAAACACAAAACAAATTAAAGAGCGCATTTCAAATATATTGTAGCTAAACCTGGTGACAGCAAATATCCTTATTAGAGATACTGTTAGGTACCTTTTATGAATGGGCTGAAGTTATGGGCAAAGGTCAAAACATTTTCCCTTAAGAAGTGATAACATTCTTGGGATGCAAAAGCTGTAATTCTATGTAGATTAAAGCATACACAATCTCTACTAACACACGAAGGTCCTTTACGCAAATGCCATTATTTGTATGAGTACTGCAATGTCTTCTGTTTTTCTTAAGTTTTCTGGCATACATCTGGGTATCTATCTTCCTATAGACTGAACAGACCCATTCAATCAAGTCTGCATCCAAATATGTGGTTTGGTACTGCTACCTACACACATTCCAAAACTCTCTCCCAATAGAAACCAAAAACATTGAAAGCATAAAATATCCCTGCTCATTGCAGGTGGGTTTGGACAAGATGACCTTTAAAGGTCCCTTCCAACCCGAACTATTCTATGATTCTATGATCCTTTTACTTCAATGAAATCATGTCCATTCATACAAGCTGGCTATTTGTCCTCGCAACTGGAACATAGCAGCAGATCTGCATTACCTGAACCATGCATAACAGAGTTTCCATTCTGCAAGGTATTATTAATATGCATCAAATGCATTAGCAGTGTACCTCATCTCTCCCTATTCCCCTCAAAATTCAAATCAGGAGGTATCATATTCTTAAGCTTTCAAGCACTGAAGCCTGCACATTAATTTCTGGTTTTAGTCCAGACTACTTATGTGGGTTTGTTTCTGAAGTGGGTTCAAGGTATGTTACATTACTGTAAAATCCCTATGCATGCTACCAGTGCAGTGAGACTGGTACAGAAACTGAATTTAAAAATCCTTCACTATCAAGGTAACAGAATGAAAATAGTTTCCCTGCCCAGTTCCACAACTATCTGTCTTGCCCGATTCTTGTAAAAATTGTTGGTCAGTCAACTACTTCACACTCCCTGGCATGTTATGCAGGGGTAGCTATCCATATTCTCATGCGTTCCAGAGTTGAACCTCCCAAATCCCACACTCCTTGAGATCCACAGCTATGGCATGCAGCCAACAGCATGGAAGAGAAACTTCATGCTAACAAAGATTTTAAAAAGCTGTAGGACAACAAGGTGGTCTAACGCTATTGTGTTGCTCATACTTTCAAGTAAGAGTCAACAGTCACCACCTTTTATTTCCCTTGTTGGAAGGAACCAAGTACATCCCAAAAAGTATGTAAGCATCTTATGACCAGAGGGGAATGGTCTGCATAATCCCTTCTGGCTGATCAAAAGCAGCAGTAGTGAGCAGTTTGGAATGGGGTGCTCTCTTTTCCTCCTTCACTAGAGAAATGGAGACAGATTAGAGGTCTGAAAGATGCTGAAGTGGGAAAAGAAGGCTATTAATATTAGGGAAAACTAAGTCAGGATCCTTCAGAATTCAGCAAACTGCTTCTCCTTAGAAGTGGTTTCAAAGCCTATCGGTATATGATACACAACTTGTAAGGATGGCTAACACTCTCTGAAAATGAGGGGAGCACGCTCTCCTCACAGAAAAACAGATGTAAACTTTTTATTAACAGGGAGCTCATCAGGGAAATACTCACCCTAACGATGAAAGTGAGTTACTGATTGCGAATAGAAAAGGACATTTTCAAAAGCACTCAAGCCCTGCTGGAAATAAAATTTATAACCTGTTTTCAGGAGCAGTCCTGTTCCTCTCCCTACTTACTTTCAAAGTTTACTTTTAGACTTGACGTAACCCTTGTACATTTGGCAATCAATGCTTTGGCCCTCCAGCCTCATGAGGAGGCTTATGTTGACTCCCACTTCTCTATCTGCGTGGAGGCCTTTTGGGTCAGACCAGGAACAACTCACGTAGTTCCCTTTGTAGGACTGTCTATATTTCTAGAAAATGTCACTTACTATCCATGGCGTGAAGATACTCCATATGAAAAGCACCAGCTCCTGCAGTGGCACCTGAAGGAATGATGTCTGCATATGGGCTGCGCTGGCCTGCCAACAGAGCCATCTGATGATAATATTCAGCTGGACTGACACCAGCATGTGGAGCTAAAAACACAACATAAAAAGGACCGTTAATGATGTAAGATAAACAGGAAGGAAAGTTTTATCACATTGCTGGTTTCTCTGGCTATTAAAACAGCTTGTTTATTTTTTAATATAATGCAATGTCTGCAGTATGCCACCACCGGTCAATGTATTTCAACCAATGATACTGCAAAGACACCATTCAAGAAACAGCAAGGCATAAAATATTAACGAGCTCAGTGATCTCATATTTTTGTATTTATTATTAAGTGACTCAAGAAGTGACAGGCTGACAGCAATGGAAACTAGTATAATTTATTTACTGACATAAAAAAGCAGGAAAACCTTTCTAGAGCTTTATTCCCATTTACCTTATCCATGGCCCAAAGGACTCCATCTCTAAGGTAACAATGTGGCTGAACTTCCACAAGCCTACAAGTTTCTGGAGTCTGCTTAGAGGACAAGAAGATTTTCGCTCACAGTGGCAGTTTATGTATAAGTTTAGGAGTAAATGAGGACAAAGCATGTTCTCAGGACAAATACTAGTTGTCCATGAATAACATAGGGGCAGTTTTCTGGGAGGACAGACTGAAGTCAATGAATGTGGCCATCCCATCCTTCAAAATTCACATACGTGTACTTGACACATGAGCATGTTTGCAGAGTCAAAACCACAGACCATTCCGTCAGCGAGATCATAAGCGATGCAGTCCTCTGATACTAACTTATATTAGCCTTTCTCTCCTGTAAAAATAATACACAAGCTTTCTGTTCCCCTGCAGTTTTCAAGCATGCCATCAACTAATGGGCAACTCCGGACAAACACAAAAATCCACATAATTTTAATATCATCTCATCTCAGCAGGCTTCAGATGCTACAGTAGGTAGAGGGTCGTTTCACGGGCTTGTGTGAGAAGTACTCATAAAATAAGCTGAGCTCCATCTCCTTGATCCCGACTCTGACTTGCAATGTGACCTGAGGTGAGCAGCCTTCCTCTCTGCTCTCTACTTGTCTCACTTGCAAAACAGTTGAAATTTCCTTATACTCTGTTCACCAGAAGATGGTACGTAAGTTTGCCTAAAACACTTCCAGGTTCCTTAGGTTAATGGGCTATACCTCAACAGATTATTTTTATATTCTTTCATATTATTTAATGATATTTTTCTTTGATCCCAGCAACTGAATCTTGAATGGAAACAAAATTTTAAGCTGAAATTCTCTGAATTACCAACTTAACCTGAATGTTGTTACTTACACAGTATTACTAAAAAGGGTAATTTATGTTTACGTTAAGAGAATCAGATCCTAAATGCAAACCTTAGAAGCAAAGAACTGATACTGACACTAAAAGGAGATAAACATGTCATTGGAGTTTGGAGAAAAGTTTATTCAGCAACAGATTTCTAAAGTGTATAATCTGTCTTTATTTTTACCAAAGAAAATGGAAGAATGTGCTTTTGATGTTATAATGTTAAATATAACTAATTTCAGGAAAGGTTCAGAAAAATAAAAGTACATCAAACAGGAACAGGAATGGCATAAAAAACGAGCTGAGATAAATTAAAGGTTGTTGGTATTTTTTCCAAATTACAAACTGATTTCTCAGTTAAATATAATCTACTTCAGCCATCACCACTTTCTGTGAAATTGCAAGAAAAATATTCAGACCAAATTTTAAAAGAGGAGTAACTCACACTGAATCACTGATTTTAAAAGTTTCACAGTAGTAGGTAATCATTGTATCTTTCCAGACACACTTAAAATACTTCCTGAGCTTTCTGACATAAGTGTCTGGGTTAACTAACAATAACACTGGATGCAAACGTTAAAATGAACTGCTGCAGAAAACATAGTGAGCACATAATTGCATTACTAAATGTTCCATATGCTGAGAAATGCTCTGGTGCTCTTTAAAGATCATTCCTTACTACCTTCTTCAAACATAAAAAATTAGCCTACTAAATGATGTATTGCTTGAAGGGTAAATGAAGGGTGAACAGGAAGGCCTGCAGCCCTGAATCTTCTCCTGTTTATTCCTGGGTAGCTTCAGCTTTGTCCCTGTTTTTTTTACAAGGGGAGGCATTTGCTTCTGCATTGTGGGCACTGCCGAGCTTCATTTGAGCAGTCTGCTTTACACACACCAACAACTCAATCCTTACCCCTCCGTGTTTCTCAGGAGTTCTTGGCCACCCCCGGCCCACCAATTCTACTGGGTAAGGTGAAGAGACAAGACAGAAGACACTCTACCCTTGCTGCTGCTGTGGCAGTCATTAATTACAGCTGGCAAAACTTGCAGTGAACATGAAACTGCTCTTCATTATGTTCCAGATTGTTTTGGCTCCTGGCCATCCCCAGATATGTGAGTCGACAGAGCAAGCCCAATAGTACACTGACCTAATTATCTAACTGGCCTAAAGCAATTAGGGTAGCAAGAGAAATCTTGCTATGACTTTCAGAAGAACAACAGCTTCCACGTTTTCATAGTTCAAATGCTACACAACTTAAGCCATGATGTCCATTGTATCATTAGTGCATTATGTGTATGTACCCCTTTAAATCACAGGGGTTTTTTATTTGCATTCTAGTAGTGCCCAAGCCATGACTTGGACTATCTGATCCCAAGAACCTACAACTGAAAAAAACATTTCATTGTATACTTGACTGATCACACAACAAACTATGGATTCCAGAGAACAAATTTAACAGCTTTTCAATAAGCATGTTGTTTTACTGAAATATCTCCAATGCCTCAATCAAGTTAGTGTATTTTCACGAGGTGCTGCTCAACACCTGGGCTGTAGTAACTGATCAAAGATGAGCTGTGAGCCTAGAGGAAACAAGAAGTAACATGTATTTGTTTAAAACCCAAAGAAAGAAGCTTAAGCTAGTAAGTTTAGCTTGTACTTATGAAAGGTTAAGGTTGTGTATACAGTCAACAACCAAAGCTCAGGGGATGAGCATTAAGACAGAGTGTACTCAACTGTGTTGTCCACACCTGAGTGTCTTGTGCCATCTGAAAGCCCGTGGGTATCCAAGCCACCTACATGAGGCTGGCAGGTATAAGACAGGCCTCAGAAGAGAAAACTGCCTTTCTGAGGTGGCAGCTGGAGTTGAGGCAAGGTATTTCACAGACCTGAACTGACACCAAACACTTACACTGTAGACAGATGAATCTTCGCACCATCATAGTTACGACAGAGCTCCAGACTCAGCTGGTAACGTGCAAGTGTCTGTATTTGGGTGAAGTGAATAGTTCTCTAAGGCTCCCCTGGCTGCCGTACCTAGAACTCACTGGACTATAATGGCAAAACAGCACACCAAGATCACAGACAGATTTCTATACTGTAGAGACCTAAATTTAGATGTCAGAATCCGAACCCAAATTCTACCCTGAGACATCCTAGAGTTTCAGAGAGATTACCACTGGCCTGGTGAATACAGCAAAGCACTTCTAGGAGATCTCTTCCCTTCTGGAGTGTCAGTTGGGTGCCAGGTCAGACACCCTAGTGTATCTCAGATAGCACTATGTGCCTATGTATATGCAAGCGAATTCAGCGTTGTGTACCTGAGACCAAGAACGTACACAGGTTAATGTCACATGGTTGTGTAATATGTGGTTTCCTTCCCTCCCTTCCTTGTATGTGCAACTGGAGCACACCTTAAGCATAAATGAAATTCTGCAGGAATGTGATCCGAAAATTACTGAAGGAAAGATGGTAAAGTGTTCTGCATATTAGTTTTTGTGAAAAACCCAAATATACATAGGGAGTTTTCCCAATTTATGCCATTACATTACAGCTCTATCATGTTTTTCCTGTATCAAAAGCTCCAAAGCTCCTTGAGTCAAAATATGTATTTCTGAGCATTCAAATTGTTTCTTCAAAATATTTTTTTTAATACTTTGGCTAAAATAAAAAGGGTAGAATTAGCAAGCATTCATACAACATGCAAAGCGCTGCTAGGAAAGCCCTACGTGCATGCCATATACCTTGACTGACAACAGGTCATTAAAATTTATTCTCATAAGAATATGTGCCCATAACTAATGGATTAACCGTAAAGTTATATGTTCTTATAAGCGAGGATTAATTAGTTATCCGTTTGGATAGGGTGCACTGCTCATTTTTCAAATTCAGCTAAAGGCAGTTTAACTCCGTTTGGTAAGTTTCTGCATACATGGGAAGACCTTTCCCATAGTTATAATAATAGTTTAATTATTTTCACTACATACATGTTTCCGAGTATGTTATATTTTAGCTCTCTTCAGCAAATGCTACAATTCTGAAATGTCAAACTGCTTACTCTATTAGAGAAAAACACACGGCTAACAAGACTGAGCCTTTCTGCAACTCCATTCATTGCTCACTTCAGCAAAATTCCCATTGAAATGAATAGGAAATGTGCCAGAATAATGACAAGAGCGATCGCAGGTGTTCACTTCAACCCAAATAACCTGGAAAGTAATAGCCATGGTCACACCAAGACCTAAAGCATCGGTATTTCAAGTATATTGCCCACCATTTAAACTAAAGGGGCCAGTCCTGATCACTAGCCGCTTCTTCTGTATCAGCATCATTTCATTTGGCCATATCATTGGCTAGGGTAAACCGAAATAATTCTATATAACTTTAACAGAACTATTAACTAAACATAACAAATCAGTGCATGCTTTACATGATTGAAAATACTATTTTAATTAACAAGCCTTTCGCACCTGAAGAACTCCATGGTTATACACTGAGGTACACTCACAAAGAATCTGGCTAGATTCAGTGCAGATACAGCAGATTTCTTAGGAGATCAGAATCACATCCTGGGTCAGCTCCACAAACAAAAGATATCACAAGACATACACCACCCTTCCAGCTTAAATTTTGAATGAGGCAGGGCTTTTTTTTTCCTCTTCTCCCTGAAGTTTCAACATTTGTGAGATGTACAAATGAGCCGTGATCGGCTGATGAAGTATTGAAACATTTATGACATAATGAATATGTCTGACAAACCTGCTGAAGCTGCTTTGAACAAGGGGGAAAAAATGCTGACAAGATTAATATAATATTAAGTTGCTACAATGACAGAAAACAGGAAGCCTGTCTTAACCCACCGTCTGTTGGGCTGAGTCCACGGGCTGCTGAGATCATGGAGAGGGACGGGCTGCTGTGCAGGGACCTGATGTAGTCCATGTAGGGGTTAATGTATGGGTGTGGGGTGCTGAAGGGAGACTCTGATGTTGCAGCAGGATTTCGGTGTGGGGAAATTCTAAGGAACGGAAGCTCCGAGTATGTTGGGCTACTAGATAAGGCAGAAGGCCTGGAAGAAAAAAGAAAGAAAAACAAACAAAAAACCATCCAGGTTATCTATACGATAAAGAAAAATACTGTAAAGGTAACACATTCATTTCTTGAAGAACAACAACTGGGTTGCACATGTAATAACTTCCACTGAAGTCAACTGCCTGGAAAGCAAAAGGATAGGAAATGAATTCTTCTCTGTACCCATTATTAGCAACATTTCTCTGACCAACTTTACCACAAGTTTATATTTGGTTTAATCTTTACATCCCTCAATACCCATTCCCAATGGAGTCCAGCAGAAAATCACTTTAATTAGTGTGAAATATGCACCCTATGTAGCACAAATTAATTCTTGCTGCAATATGGAAGACATACTGACATGCTGAATCATTTGCATCTTCGAAACCACGTGACTATTGGAAAACAGAGTTTTGAGAGCTACACTGTGCCCACTCCCTTCATTTGCCTGCTTATTCTTCCTGAAAGTGCAAGATTGCACATTTATACAGAATTCGTTTCAGAAGACCCAAACTTTGTAAGCCATTAAGACAGCTGGGTCTTTTGGAGCATTTTTTTGCTCATGTCCCTTCCCATGAAAGATGCAGAAAACTTGGTGGCAAAGGAAATTGATGCATATGTTTGTTTTTAGCATGGCACCAAAGACCAATGCCTTTAACAAGACCACATTAATTAACTACCTCATTCTTGTGAAAGGAGAGCTGTGGTGCCTTCTTAGGCTATGTGTATGAAGCTGTGATGAACCAAGGCTGAAAGGCAAGTTCACAGCTGACAAAAGATAAATAACCTGCCATAACCCTCCCCATCATCCCACCCTGTCGATATGACAGCGTCCGGGCTCTGCGTGGAGACCTTTCTCTCACAGCATCCTGCCTCCAAAGGCACTGGAAAAAGTCCAAATTTCATCAGAAGGGGTTGGAGTGCCTGCCCTTGCCAACCTGCTTTTTGGCAAAAGACAATGATTAAGCCTGTCATGCACTTGCTGTAGTCCAACTGGTTGACCTGAACTAAATGCCTTTTTGTCCCTGTTTTTCCAATTAATTTAGCATATATACAGCACAGACACAGGCAGCAGCTGTGAGAGCAGTGAGGGCAGCCTGTTCCTTTGATGCTGCTGGCTTACAAAGAATAATAAAACAAGAAATGTATTTTTTTTTCCTTTAACATACACATACCATGATCAATGGACATAGTTGTTGTCACCTAAAAGGCCAACAGAACATAATATTACATAGGAGCCAATTCTGTCCTGCCATCAGCTCAGAAATGCTAGAGTATGAGCGGGACAAAGATCAAAGTTATGCATTCCTAACACGATGCTGGCTTCCCTGCCACAAAATCCATGAGGGCTCATAAAATCTGGGGAACCAAGATTTTTCCTGTTGTGCTTTTCTCCCTCTTTTCCCTTCCCTATTTGGCTTTTTTGTGTTTCTTGCCCTCCTACGGTTTTCTACAAGGTAAGCCTATTTAGCCTTCCCATATGAAATTACCTCCTAGCTCCAAAGTTTGTTAGAGAGCTGCATTTGTTGCGTGCTAGCAGCAGGTACCGGCAGTGCAATCACTCCTTTGGCACCCGACCAAGTGACCCACACGAAGCCCAGCCACTCACTGGTACACCTTCACCGTATTTAAAATGCACCGAGAACCTGAAACCAGAAGCCATTTTCCACCACTGTGCAAAACAGGCATCTCCTTTCCTCAGAGCACCTTTTGTCTGCGTGGTTTTGAAGCACCTTTGTTTTACGATGGAACTGCAGCTTTACTCTTGTTGGTACAGTGAAAACTGACCAGCCATGAAGCATTTGCTGTCTCGCGGTTCCCTGCCAGGCCAAGTGTGGAAGGCAGGAGCCTTAAAACTCATGGTGATGTAGGAAGCAAAAATACCACAGCTGGATATCACATTACAGAATGAATTTCCCATCCTGGCAGTGAGGAAAATACGGTAGTATAGCAAATTTAATACATGAGTAACAAAGAAACTAAGTTTGGATGTCATTTTACAAGTCATTTTTTTCTAATGCGATCTCAAGTCAGAAAGAGTTAGAAACCTGAAGAGCATGCCGGCAAGCAGGAGTCCTGGCCTTATCTGGCACATATCGAACAGAAAACTGTTTAAAAGCTTTTGCAAGAAGGCTGAAAGTCTGTATCAGCCTCAGTGATTCACTCTCCAGCTGGCCAGCAGCCAAACACAGCCGCAGGAGCAAGATTAAGAGCCAGGCTGTCAGCTTGTCCCTCCAGATCCAATGGGAGCCATTCAAGGACACTGGGACTCAACCACTTCTCCTCCTCAGCACTGCCTCTTCCTCTCTCTGCTCCTCTGAGCTCCTCAGTTTTCCAAGGATGCTAGGGAAAGGATGCCGACCTGGGTAACATCAATTGACAACAGGCATATAAACTGCATTATCAGAGGCAGAAATAAGGAGTCATCAGATTCCACATAAAATTCCCAGCTCTGGACTCTAATGTTTACTAATCTCTCTCCAACATCTGATTTTAATGTGCTGCTAACTTCTCTGCTTACTTCCAGCTTGTACTTTTCTCACTCCGTTGTGTTTCCAGACCCTCCTTTCCCTGCAGTCCCACTTTCCCTCCTGCCTCCATCTGCTCTCAGAGCTCCCACTGTTTGAGCCCTCCTGATTTATTCCAATAAACGTCACATATTCTTCCCTTCCTTTCCCTCCATGATTAAACTTTACTATGAGCACCTTTCGAAAGTAGTGTTTAACTCCCTCCTTCAAACTAAAATGTTAGAAAGGGTGCAGCCAAACACACTTACTAGTAGCTACTGCTTTGCAGCCTCTTTGCATACCAATAAAGAATTACTTTTGTCCTGTAAACAACAAACAGTACAGCCCAGGAGTGGCTCTGCAGACACTCACTCAGTGACAAGCAAATCAAATCTCCAAATGTGGGTGGCAGTCCACCCCCATCATCTTTATTTCACATTTACTTTGTCACCAGCCTTGGCAAATAGTGTTCCGCCCTGGGTCTGAGACTACTATGTGGGACGCAACGAGGCTTCAGCATGAGAAAAGGCAGAAACATTTTCAGTGATACATACTGCTTCAAACTTTATGCCTTACCTGTAAACCAAGGGAAGGCAGAACTTGCTCTGCATCCTCTCCTACACAGGGTTTTTCCTGTTCAACGACACACTGTGGGCACTAAGGCTTCCTTCAGAGAGAGGGACCGAAGCAGATGCACACTCTTTTCTGAATCAGGACCTTTCCGTCTACTCCCAGAGATCCTACAAACTCAACTCAAATTTGACACAAAGCTTATCATACTTTCAATACTTATTTGAAGTTGGAGGGCTCCAGGTTTGGGAGTAAGAGAGATCCTATGGCTGTGTTTTATCACTGCAAATTTTTATCCTGGCACATTAGGCTATTTTATTATTTTCTCAGTAACTTTGATTACATCTACACCCTTGACGCAAAGGAGAAGCAGCAGAGCACAGGGCCGGCTGTGAAGGCGTCTCCTCCTTTCTGTCCAGACTGCCCTCCTGCTCACCGCTAAGGTGCGGAAATACCGTGACTGCCACACAGCTTCCTTATGTAACTCAGGTCTTCCCACTCCCCACTCATCTCCAGCCTGCCAACTCCTCCCTGTCCCGACTCTGATGCTCTGGAGAATCTCAACTACTCAGCACGAGCATGGCGCACACGTGCCGAGGCAGTGAGATCAGTGTAAGGGCAAACAGGTGTATTTTTTCCTATTAGTCATGACACTTTTTTTTGATGAATGTTGCAGAGGTGTCTGCACAGTCGTAAAAACTTATGTGGTCACACCAGTTCAGCAGCTGTGAACAGCATCAGATGTATGGCAAATCACAAAATGCATGAAGCCACTTTTTTTTTTAATGCTTTTTCTGACCACTGCTGAACCACAGGTGAGCTGTATGTAAGATTTCAGTTATTACTCATGAAAACTGTGTCATTTTGTTTTGTTGCTTACAGCTGCAACAGATGAACTCTGCACAAGAAGACTGACCAGCAGCAGGTTTGGATTTTAGCCACCAGAAAAACTGAACAAAGTGCAACTCCTTTTTCAGCCCGTGCAGCCCTTTTTTTAACTGGGGAAGGAAGATCATGGGAATCTGAGAGTTGACATAGCAAGCATGAGTGAGTTATACGTATTTCAAAATGATCTGCATGCACAGATCATTGCCCACTATTAACCTGAAAGGATCACACATTTTTCTATCAGCAGAGAGAACGGGGGTGGGGGGGCTCATACCATATACTTTAGGATGGTTTTTGTACCTAAGCATTAGCCAGGTTTACAATGAAGAAGATCAGATGCTCCAAATTCAAGTGGAAATCCCATCCCCTTCTTTGGTAGTAACAGAGTGGCTAACTTGTGCAGGTGAAATACCGCTGTCTGCCTATGACTAGAGGTAAAAATCCCCAGGCAGGTAAGCAAGCACAGAGCTTGTTGACTACGTGGGCCCATCAGCCACCCTCTCTTCTCAGTGCCATACTGACAGGATTCAGGATCACAATTTCCAGTCTCTGCCCATGTCCCTGGTGCAGTAGGGTGAGGTGTGACAGGTGTCAGATTAGCACCAGATATTAGGATAGAGAAGGCACAGAGTATTCCCTACCTTACCTCATTTTTCCCTTCTAACTTGCACCTTCTCTCCCACCTATGTGCCTGAACTGCTCCTGTGGCACAAGGCAGAAGAAAACCACAGGTGGGAATATACAACTTTCTTGAATTCTGTATGTTCAAAAACCTAAAATATCTGGTGATTTTAAGCCTCTGAAAAATGAAGACTAACAAAAATATTAATAGGTGTTTATTTTCCAACCTGTAACTGTTCAGAAATTTCATAACAAAACTAGAACACTGAACTCCAATTTCCCATTCTCCTTTTTCCCCTTCCTAAGTCACACAGCTTTATCATTCATGTAGACCTAGTGAAAAGCCAGGCAGAGGACCAGACCAAAGTACCAGGAAACCATCTTACATGGATTTATGCTTGTACCTGAGTAA